AATTAGCCAGTTTTTGATCCATAAAAGGACTTGTCCTTTTATCCCATGATTTTTGAGCTTACTTAGGAGCCTTTGATGACGAACTTTATCAAAAGCTTTCTGGAAGTCAAGAGGGTATTGGAAGAAACACAAAAACTGACAGCCTAAAATCCAGAAGGTTAAGCTACCGCCTTCTGAGCTCTTTGCACAAGCATTGTTCATTTTAGTGGGGCATTTCCTATAAGGAATAGTGTGCAGGCCCATGATATTCTGGGACAAAGAAGAAATATGTACACACTCATTCATGGATTTAGAATTCTCTAAATTCATGGTATCTGTGTAGCATATAGTGATGTTTACCTGAAGTTACAAGAGCAAAACAGTGCTGATTTCTAGTCTCCTTTAGTAGACTTCCGAGTAATCAAATTAGAACCTTGTGTTTTGTTCAGAATCTTAATCGAGTTTGTATTACAGTTAACCATTGAGTAAATTAGGAGAGCCAGTGTAGTGTTGTGATTAAAACCTCAGAATAGGACGTAGGACACCTTGTTTTGAATATTTGCCCAGCCATTAAATTCATGGGGTGACCCCTAGGACTAGCCTACCTTATGAGGTTGCTGTGAGGACAAAATGGGGGTTAGGGAGAACCATGTGTTTTGCTTGGAGCTCCTTGGAAGAAAAACAGGATAAAAATGGATAGATTGTGTGGAATGTCGGGCTAATTCAGTTGATTACTAATTGTCTTTTAAGATTGCTCCATTGTCCTTATTTTGGAAGAACAAATGGACAGCATTGTGTGAAAAATCTTAAGAAAAATCATGATATGTCATATAGGAAACTGGCCATTTTCTTTGTTGAACAAGAAATGTTAATGAAATTGGTCTGTCTCATTGCAAGTGGGCTTCTTTTTCTGCTGAACTTTTTCTGCCCAACTTTTAGATGTTTCCCACTTAAGAACATCCCCATCTCTTTGACATTATGTTTTGTAGTGGTGGTGCTTACAAGTAGATCTAAGGCCGCTTGGGTACCTTTGAGGTACAACACCCTGCTTTAGGACTGCTGTCGAGGTGGGGAAGTTCTGTACAGTGACAAGGTGTGTACAGTGAGAGTTTGTTTAAACATCTCCTTTCAGTCAGTATACTTATCTCAGTACCATGGATACGGGTGTTTGAATGTAATCCAGGTACCTTATCTTATAACAGGGTGGTAGAAAACTGCAGTCACCTTTGTTTGTCATGAGTGTGCAGACATGTGGTTTGATTCTACTGAATGGCAACTCTCATACATTGCATCAGACAGAACAGGGTCAAGATGAAATGGTTCTGGTGATGAAAGAAACAGTACAACATTAGAAGCTTGGTACAAAGCAGACCATTCCCAATTCAGATTAAAAGATACGTTAGCCTCTCTTTTCCTTTGAACTTGTTTTGAATCAGCATGAGTTCTAGAACAAGCTCTTGTTTTCCTTT